AACAAAATTTTTTTCATCTAACACAAAAGCATGTGGGGGCGGAGTTTAAAATACTAAGTAAATCATAAGCTTTATAAGTGAAACCAAGCCTTTATTAATAATTAATACTAGTATTACCATTTATCATACTTTAAAGACATTTATCAGCTAATTTTCAGATTAGTCCAGGAGAGAAATATCCCAGTTAAGACTAACATCTTTGTTTCATTTATAGACAATTAAGTATGTGAGTAAAGAATGCAAAAGAATACTGAGCTAAAGCTGCTTACACACACTCTGTATGTTCCCACAGGTTCCTTACATCTTTAAACTACCTACAGACACAAAATGTGTTGTCCACGGGTGTGTTGCAAAATATTTAGATATCTCTGAGGGTTTCAGCAGTTTTGCTGTGGAGTCTCCAAATTTCATTTCTGGTGTCCTTATAGAGAGTCATGGAGTAGAAGAGGAGGGTGAGGAGAAGCAAGCCAAGTAATTTATCTTATAGCAAGTTTTTCCTGGGTTAGTTATGTATGATAAAAAAGAAATCAGAATAATAAAGATTGCTTTTGACAAACATAAAAGTCTGTACGACACCTGTATTAATAATAGCATAATATATGGAGGGAAGTGCATCACTAACTCAAAGGCTGTACCTCTCTGTTGGTTTGAATCCCCCAGGGGCTCTGAGGGAGAAAGATGTACAGTCTTCTGCATGATGGAAAGCCTTCAAACGCCTGCTACAAGGTCAGCTTTGAGTTAGTTCTGATGACAACAATAAGAGGAAGATTATATACAGAGTTTAACATTAATGGACATGATCATTTGCCTCTCTTTACTTTTCACCAATTCTTCCTTCAGAAAAATACAAGGGAAAAGAGAAAACTTCCTTTTTCAGTAAGATTTTACTGAATTAATATAAGTATAATAATTTTTCTTGCCTGTAAATTTTTTAAGACTTAAATTACAATAAAAATTTTGTCATATTTAAATATAAGTAGAAATTCAACACCAAAGTATGACACAAAGGAGAAGCAATGTCAATGAGCTAATCTATATGTACTACTGAGGTAGTTAAGTGCTGTTTTCCAGATTAGCATAGGAAAGACCCATGACATATTGATTGTAGCAGAGCTGGAGAATCTAATAGAATCCAACAGCAGGACTCCATAACAGTAGTACCAATCAATTTACAAAGTATATTCTTAGCATGTGGTTTTGTTCCAGTCACCATACCCTTTATGTTCATCTAATGTGAACTCTCTAACTTGACAAACATATATTGTCCTTTGCGGCTATATTTATCATAACAATAAACTCAGGAAATTGAAGACTCTGGTAGAAGCATAATGTTTAAACCTAACTCTAGAGCAAAAAGACATTTTATCTTCAGAAATTTGGTCCAATGAATGTCCCACTGTAAACTATATTAAGAATACTTCAAAGGCTTCTCATACCACCTGAAAAAAATCTGGCTAAAAAAATGTTCAATTACTAAGCATGACCTCTCCTTGTAATAATTTTGTCTTATTTTCTAGCTAGGAAAACAGAGGCACAGTTATTAAGAGATTCAGAGATTCAGAAGCAGAGAACAAGCACAGCCCTGTGTCCAAGGCCCAGTTTTTCTTTCTCATAGAAAAGTGTTTAGAGATTGTGAAGCTTTGAATTTCTTTAAATGCAGCTTTTGATCTTTTTTAAGTACAAAAATAATCATATATCTTATTACATTCAGAAATCTTAAACTGGAAAAAAAAATGTGTCCAAAATTTATTTTTTTTTCAATCTCTTCTTCCAACAGAATTCAAAACCCAGGTGAATTATCAGATATAGGTAACAAATTATCTCCGTCTTCTCAAGGCTTCTAATCAATTTGAAATAGGATCTTGGTTAAAGTTCTTCCCTGTCATGAAAATACAAAAAAGCACTTAGTTGAAAAGCAAAAACATCATCACTTTTGTTGCAATACATTTTTATTTATCAGTTCTTTTGGGGTTTTTTTTTGAAGGAAAGTTATCCTAAGATATATAATTTTTTTCTTTTATATTGATTTGCATACAAAGTTCATATCCATCATGTTTCACACATTGCTTCATTCACATTGTGTTTTACACAATCATTCCTATACCTTGTGTTTTATAAAATTAATCACTCTTGAACTACTCCCCATTACCTTATCTTTTCAGGCCCCCACCGGATCTTTCCCATTTCCTTTACCCACTCTCTCCACCCACCAAGTTGTTTGACTCTGTGATTTACCCCCCTGCCCTGCTCATCCCTCTGCTTCCGCCCCTAACCTGATATACCAAATTTTAAAAAAGAAAAATACACTTTACAAAAGCCTTGTTAACATTTTTACTGTATCCCAAGTCAGGTTTATTAACTTTTTTTTTAAATTCTGGTAGATAAAGATTGATTCAAAGTGAAGAGTTAAAAGAAGAATAGATTATTTAATTGTTGTTGTTGTTGTTGTTACGTGCCGTCGAGTCGTTTCCGACTCATAGCGACCCTATGCACAACAGCCCTAAACCCTGCTCTATCCTGCGCCAACTGCACCGCCTCTGACACACCCATCCCGATTACCCCAGTCACCGAATCAATCCATCTCATAGAGGGTCTTCCCCTCCTGCGCTGTCCCTCAACCCTCCCAAGCATGATGTCCCTCTCCAAGGACCCGTCCCTCCTGGCAACATGTCCGAAGTATTTCAGACGAAGCCCCAGAATCCTTGCCTCCAAGGAGTAGCTTGGTTTAATCCTCTCTAAGATGAATCTGTTTGTTTTCCTGGCAGTCCATGGTACATTCAGTACCCTTCTCCAGCACCACAGCTCAAAAGCATTCACTCTCCTTCTGTCCTCCCTAGTCATTGTCCAACTCTCTGATGCATAACAAGTGATTGCAAAGACCATGGCCTGTATCAGGCGCACCTTAGTCTCCAGAGAGACACTGTTGCTCCTGAGTACTTTAGAGAGGTCCCTAACAGCAGACTTTCCCATCGCGATACACTTTTTGATTTCCTGACTGCTGGTGCCAAGAGTGTTGACTGTGGAGCCGAGCAAACTGAAGCTGTGAACAATCTCAATCTCTTCGTCATCCATCCTGACGCTGCCAATTGGTCCAGTGGTGAGAATCTTTGTCTTCTTGACACTGAGCCTCAGTCCATTCTGATGGCTGCAGTCCTTGACCCTTCGCAGCAAGTGCATGAGGTCCTCCTCAGTTTCAGCAAGCAGGGTTGTGTCATCTGCATAACAGAGATTGTTAATAGACCTTCCACCAATCCTGATGCCACAATTCTCCTCATAGAGCCCAGCCTCTCGGATAATCTGCTCTGCATACATGTTGAAAAGGTATGGAGACAGGATGCATCCCTGGCGTACACCCTTCCCAATTTTGAACCATGCAGTGTTACCCTGCTCTGTTCTGACTACTGCCTCTTGGTCCAAGTATAGGTTTCGTATTAGCACAATTGTTCTGGGATTCCCATTCTTCTCAGAGTCAGCCACAGTTTGTTATGATCCACACAGTCAAATGCCTTTGCATAATCAATGAAACACAGATAGACATTCTTCTGGTATTCTCTGCTTTCAGCCAAGATCCATCTAACATCAGCAACAATATCCCTAGTACCACGACCCCTTCTAAACCCAGCCTGGACTTCCGGCAGTTCTCTGCTGATGTACTGTTCTAATCGTTTTTGGATGATCTTCAGCAGAATCTTGCTTGCATGTGAAATCAATGACACTGTTCTGTAGTTTCCACACTCAGTTGGGTCACCTTTCTTTGGAATGGGAACAAATATAGATCTCTTCCAGTCAGTTGGCCAAGTGGTTGTTCTCCAGATTTCTTGGCACAACTTGGTGAGCACATTCAGGCCAACATCTGTTATCTGAAATACTTCAAATGGTATACCATCTATTCCTGGGGCCTTATTTTTTGCTATTTCCTTCAAAGCAGCTTGAACTTCTTCCTTCATCACCATAGGCTCTTGCTCATATGTTATTTCTTTAAATTCCTCTGTATCTGCCAATTCCTTTCTATATAATGACTCAGTATATTCCTTCCATCTTCTTTTAATACTTCCTGGATCATTTAATATTCTGCCCAAAGCATCCTTGATTACAGCAATTCTCGGTTTGAATCTGTTCTTCAGTTCCTTGAGCTTAAGAAATGCTGAGTGAGTTCGGCCCTTTTGATTTTCTGACTCTAGTTCCTCGCAAATTTCACTGTAGTTTTGCTTTGTCATTCCAAGCAGCCTTATGCCATCTTTCCTTTATAATAATCTCCTTAAACAAATAGTGTCTGTGTGACTTTTCTTTTGTTTCATAGGATATTTGTGTTTAAGTCTTTGTTACATGAATATTTTTTTGTCCTCAGGGAGTCCCTGACATGCGACTCTTCTAGCCCCTGACTCATGGCATATTTTAGTTAGAATGAACCACACTTCGGACCATCTGAGTTGAGGTATTTTTTATCTGTTTTGGGTTTTTTGTTTGTTTGCTTTTTTGTATAGCCTATAATTAGTACTATGTAGCACATACAATGTTGTATAATTTGATAACGTTACCATTCTCAGGTGTTCACTCAGAAATAAATAACTGTTATGATTTAGTGCTGAAAACATTGTAATGGCTATGAAAACTCTGGCAGGGCAGCTGTAGGACCAAAAGCAAAATTATAACCCTACCCTCTACATCCAACTAATGGCCATAGTAGTTTCTTTTTACAGTAGTTCATTTCTGTAACCTAAGTCTCATTGTGAATCCTGGGAGCAAAGGAAGAAATACTTAGCAGATACTTGTCAAAAATGGGTGCTGATAGAAGCAATGAAAAGAGAGAAAGTATAGAATAAGTTGAACTTGGTAGATGCAAGTGATAATACTTTTAATGAGATGTATAAATCAAAAGCATATAAAAAAATACCTGTAGGACTGAAAATAAAGCAATATGCTAAAAAAGCATGAGGATTTATAGAATTTAAGATGTTATTTATAGGATCTTTGTATGGAAAATATTTTATGGCATTGGTTCACAGGAAGTATCTTAGGGGGAAATAAAAAAGAAAATAGGACATGGCCCAGGGACATGTAGGCCAGAGAAAATAGCATCTCAGTTTTAAATATCTGCCACTTTCTAAAACTGTGATTGTATCTCTTCATCTCTCTACAGCTTCTTTTCTCATGAACAAATTATTTTTTTTATTTTGCCCAATTTATACAGTCATTAGGAAAAATTACCAAGATATTCTGTGTAGAAGTGTATGATAAACTAGAAAATATTCCACAAATACTCATTGCTGCCAGAACCATATAGAATGGGCAACAATTGCATCTTACGCTGTTAGTAATTCTCAAAGGACAGTTAGACCCTGGGTTGAGGAGTTGTTTTGAATACTTACGTCTGATGTTCTCTCACAAAAGCAGCAAACTCTGGATCTTCAGCATACAGTTCCAAAATTCTCATTCTTTCTTGAATCTCCTTTTTTAAGAAAGAAGAGGAGGAAAACTATACATTTTCATGAGGATACAACGTCAACATCTTTTTTTCAAGGATTTCTAATTTTCATAAGCAATTACATTTTCTGGGTCATCCAAAAGGTATTTCATTTCCAAGAAGCAAAAAGTTTGGATATTACACATGCTGTTTTTAAGAACTCAAAAGAATTCTTTTTAGAACCTCTCAAGGAAGGAGGGAGGAACAAAGAGACCAATAACAGAGGGAGAGAGATAAATTCCTTAACGTTAAATGGAAAAGAGACCACTGGGTGGGGGATTAAGGTACAGATCTGTATCATATGCATCCACATAGACAGGGTGACAGGAAATTCAAAAACCACTCATTAAATACTTTCCATCCTTTCTTTCAGCCCTTATAAACACCGATTCCAATGAGCACACATCCATTCACACATAACAGAAGAGCAGCAAAAACAAGCAAAAGAGCCAAGTTGCCTACCTCTCCAGAAAGCTCACTGTTCTCATACGTTTCTCTGATTTTTTCTCTGCTCTGATCATTAATCAATTCTGCACTAGCTGGGTTATAGAAAGGACGCTGAAGATAGGGTCCCCCGTATTGCTCACTTGCATCCATGTGGCTTCCATACACGGGGTCGTACTTCATAGCATTCTCAATGGATGAGATGCTGTCAGGCTGCCTGTTAGAGCCACAAAAAGGAAAGGCATGGTTAAGTCATGCTCTTCTTCCAATGATTTGGAAGAGTGTGTAACTGGGATAAAAGATCTGTGTGGAAAGAGAAAAAGAAAAAAGAGAGGCAAACCATATACAAATCAGGAAGATTACAGCAGAAAATACTCCAGTCAACAGCAAATGTTCTTTATCAAATGTTTTCATTATTATTTCTTTAACTAGACAGCACATTTCCTGGAGAAATATTTCACGTCTCATTCATCTTTATTTGCCCCACAATACTTGTTGCGGTCACTTTTTAGGAACTGAGTCCATTCAATTTATATTGATCATATAAACAATAACTTGAAATCCTGCTGATGCTACAACATCCTCAAAATTGCCTCTGAGCTCAAGACCATTGTTGCAGTCACTCCCATGTGTCAATCCCTCTCATTGAAAGTCTTCCTCTCTTCCACTGACCCTCTACTTTTCTAAGCAAGTTGATCTTTTTTAGGGATAGTCTTTTCTGATAAAACGCCCAAATTAGGTGGCATGAAATCTCACCGCCTTATGCTTTCTTTAAGAAGCACTCCAGCTGCACTCTGTAAGACAAACTTATTTGTTCTTCAGGCAGTTCATGGAAAATTCAGCATTCTTCACCAACACTCAAATTCAAAAGCATAAATTCTCTTTTGTTCTTCCTTATTCACTGACTTTCACATGTATCAGAAGCTGCTTGGACCAGTTTCACCTTAAGTCTTTAAGGTGATATCCTTGATCTTTAGAACAGTTTCTTTAAAGCAGATTTACTCAATGCAAAAAATAAAAATAAAAATCTCTTGATTTCTTAGCTTATGCTTCTATGGTTGTTGATTGTGAACCCAAGTAAAATGGAATGGTTGGCAACCTCAGTCTTTTCTCCATCATGATTGTTCCAGTGGTGAGAATTTTTCTTTTCTTAGTGTTAAGTCGTAATTCATATTAAAGGGTATAGTCTGTTTTTCTTCAATAAGTACTTCAAATCTCCTTCACTTTCCTCAAGCAAGGTTTTGCCATCCTCAGGTTGTTGATGAGTCTTCCTCCAATCCTGATACTTCATGTAGTCCAACTTCTCGAAGTATTTGCTTAGCATACATATTGAATACGTATGGTGAAAGGATACAACCCTGACCCATACACACCTTTCCTGGCTTTAAACCACCCTATCATTGTTTCTTAGTTTAGATACAGGTTCTGCATAAGCACGATGAAGTGTTCAGGAATTCTCATTCTTCTCAATGTTATCTATAACTTACTATGATTCATACAGTCAAATGTCTTTGAATGATAGTCATATTAACTGATATTTCCATGCTCATGAACATTATTCTCTCACTGACAGCATTGTATTTTAGAATAAATCTTGAAGTGTTCTCTTTGACAATGAATGTGATGAATTCTTCTTCAATCTACCAATGCTTGCATAATAGACCATATGATGGCGTAATTCAAAAATGGTATCAGTTTATTTCTGCGCACTAATGCCAAGGTTATCAACATTTATAAGTTCTAGTTCATTTCTTACAATTCCATTTGTTTTAGATATATATTTTATACATTCCAATTATTAATGAGTGTTTGTAGCTGTTTGTCCTTAGATTGTATCATCAGAAAATGAAGATCCTTCATTGGGTGAAAGCTTTACTTCATCATCTTCATTAAGAAAGATGCTACTTTGAGGAGGCATCTCTTCCTGTTTGTGCTTTGAGTTCCTGCCAACCTAAAGAGGCTCATCTCCAAGCACTATCTCAGATAATACTTGTTATTTAACAGTTATCAAGGGTTCATAATTTCAGAAGTGAAGGGCCATTCCTGCATGTTAATGCGGAAACTCCATTGAAACTTGTGTGTAACCCTTTTGATATTTGAAATACTGGTGACATAGCTTCTAGCATCACAGGAACACTCAAACCACCAACGTATATCACACTGACAGATAAGTGGTAACACCCAACTGTCAATATATGTTAGTTTGGAAACAATGAATGAATGGAAATTCAAAGTCTCTGTAAATTTAATTAAAAGTAATAATAATAAAAAAGGGGGAAAACAGATAGTGTTTTGTAAAACAAATACTGTTTTTACACTCCCAAAATTTACAAATAAAAAAATAGTGTGCACCACAAATTGTGGTTCATTCACACAATGGAATACTTTGCAGCATTCAGGAGCAATGATTTGGAAAAATATTGTATAACCTGGGAGAAGCTAGAGAGCATTATGTTGAGTGAACGAACTCATTCTCACAAGGACAAATATATCATAAGACCATTATTGTAAAAAAATAGTAGGATAACTAGTAAGATGTGGATAAAAGTCCAAAGAGGGAATTGGAGGAAGAAGAGGTGGGGCCGGGAGGGAGGAATCAGAGTTTGGTAGATGAAGGGAGGTGGTTAAGGAATTAGGAAAGATTTAGTGGGGACCTGAAAATATGAGGTAATAGTGGGCATAAGTGAATGGTAATTAATTTTATGAAATACAATGTATGGAAATAGTCATATGAAACATAATATGAATAAAGGAATATGTGAAATACAATGGACATGAATGAAACACAATGTATACAAATTCGTATCCAAACTAATATGTAATTTTTAAAAACTAGTGTGTAATCATACATAGAATCTAAAAGAAATATCAGTATAGGAAATATGTTGTTCTTAGGTGCCACTGAGTCATAGACTCATAGTGACCCCATGAATGAAAGTCCTGAACATGCATAACTTTCTTCGTTTCTCTAAGTTCACAGAGTGCCTAGAAGCATGCTATTTCTGAAGTAAGTGGATGCCACCCCTACTTCATCAATTAAATTCCATTCCGCTCTACAAATAAGTTGTTTATGAGTCTTGGACTGTTCTAGATCTGATGGTTATAAAGATAAACTTATTGTAATACCTGCCTAATGCAAAGTCTTACTCAGTGTAATATATAGGAGAAATACCTATTTCTGAGAGAGTGACACTTCCCTCAGTGTAAATCTGTGTGGAATCAGACTGCTACATCTTTCTCCCACTGAGCAGCTGGTCACTTCAAACACACAACTTCAGCGGACCTTGAGGTTCATGCACGCCTCCTTGCCTTTGCCTACTTATATACAATCAACTAAAAAAGTGTCTTATACTAAACACCAACAAAACTCCATTTGGCTCCCCAGTCTTAACTACATTAAAAAGTCTAAGACTCTCCCTCCCCAAAAGTAATTCCTCTCTCACCAGACTCCTTGGCACCTTGTTCATCTGTTGTTTTTTGTAGGTGCTGTCTAGTTGGCGCATGGCTCTGACTTACAATGTTCCCGTGCAGAACAATATGAAGTGCTGCCTATGCCATCCTCACAGTCTTTGCTGTGTTTACGTCCAATGCTGCAGTCAAGGTATCAGTGATCTGTCTCACTGAGGGTTTCCTCTCTTTCACTGACTCTCTGCTTTTGTAAACATGATGCCTTTCTATAGTGAATGACTTTTCCTAATAACATGCTCAAAGGATGTGAGACCTTACCCATACTGCTACTTGCTTTGTTCTTGTTGTTGTTGTGTATCATCGAGTCAGAACCAACTCACAGCTGATGTCTGGTGTGTTTTCAGAGGCCATTAAGAAGAAATTTCACATTCTTCTCCCACAGACAGGTGGTGGATTTGAACCAAGTGCCCATGGGATTGCAGCACAGCTTCTTGCCACTAGGCTACCAGAGGTCCATTTTTATATAGAGAAAGCAATGTTGTTGTTGTTGTTGTTGTTGTTGTTATGTGCCATCGTGTCGCTTGCGACTCATAGCGACCCTATGTACAACAGCTCTAAACTCTGCTCTGTCCTGTGCCAATCTCATTGTCTCCACACACTCATTCCAATTGCCCCAGTCACTGAATCAATCCACCTCCCAGAGGGCCTTTCCCTCCTGCGCCTGCCCTCCACCCTCCCAAGCATGATGTCCTTCTCCAAGGACTGGTCTCTCCTTACAACATGACCAAAGTATGTCAGACAGAGTTTCAGAATCCTTGCATCCAAGAAGCAGCCCGATTTAACCCTCTCTAGGATGAATCTGCTTGTTTTCTTAGCAGTTCATGGTACCCTCAGCACTCTTCTCCAACACCAAAGCTCAAAAGCATCAATTCTCCTTCTGTCCTCCCTGGTCATTGTCCAGCTCTCTGATGCCTAACAAGTGATTGCAAAGACCATGGCCTCTATCAGATGCACCTTAGTCTCCAGAGAGATACCATTGCTCTCAGTACTTTGGAGAGGTCCCTAATAGCAGACTTTCCCATGGCAATGCACCTTTTAATTTCCTGCCTGCTGGTGCCAAGAATGTTGATTGTAGTAAGTAATAAATTAAGAAAACAAAAGAGTTCTTTTCTTTTTTATACCTGGAAGCCATCTCTCTTTCTCTTCTAGCATATTGATTTTGGAGCGTCTTGACAAGGAAGAAGATGACAATAGAAGAGATGAGGAGCAGTCCAATTACAGAGGTGACAATGATGCTAATGACCAAGGTCTCCGAAACAAACTCCTCACAGTGCTCCCCTCGATACCACCAGTTCTGACCCACTCGGCATCTGTAACAAGCAATAATCAGATCCAAAATCTGAATTACTTGGCCCAAAGTAACAATTAACAGCAGACTCTTCAACAGGAATAAAGAAAGGTAAAGAAGCGAATGCTGACCACATGAGGCTTCATTAAAGAACTGAGTATATGCCAGGTGATTGCACAGTTTAAAACTATGCATAATGCCTGTCACAAACTCAGCAGGTCCTCATAACAGACACTAAGTGATTGAATAGATGTTATTTCATGTTCAGTCTCATTTTTTATAGTTTATTTTCTGATTGTTATTTAGGAGATATATATATATATTCAAAAATTTCTTCAATTTAATGATATTGATTACATAGTTCCATGCCACATTTGTTAGATGCTCCCTAGTGGGGACTGATTCACAACTGACTGACTCTCCTGCAGATTTTCTGAGGCTATAAATTACATGGAAGGAGACTGCCCACCTTCTTCCTAAGAAAGCAGCTGGTGGATACAAATCACATCTTTCTATAGGAGATCAAAATGACAAATACTCAAAAGATTAAATAGGAAATTTAGGAGATAGAGAATTATGTTTATGAGGAAGGAACAACTCAGAAAAAGAAGGTGAAAATGCTTGTACAATTCAGATAGATCTTAGGGAGCTCTGGTAGCTTAGTGGTGTGAAATTGTCCTGTCAACACACAGGTATGCAATTCAGATCGACCAGCTACACTGGGGTAGAAAGATGGACAGTCTTCTTCCTGTGCAATTTACTGCCTCCAGTTTGGAGGCTCATGTGTAAAGTAGTTATTTAAAACTCGTGTTTTAATTGAAAGTTGGGTGTAAGCTGTTTGGTTGGTTTTTATTTCATTCACAATCATGTGTGAGCTGATTGGTCACTGGATTTAACTAAAATCAGCTGTGGTCTAGAAGCCTCTTGTTAAAGTCAATCAGGACCTGGTGGGCAGGCCTTTGTATTTTAAAAGTCAGTTGGGCCTGAGGGATGCAGAACCCAACCCCCCTCAGGCCTGGTGTTAATTGTGAACCTTCTTCTAAGTGGCACAGCACTGATCTGTCAGTATGCTGTACTGAGGTAACTTGAAGTTGCTTTGAAACTGAACCCTCTGCCACACTGGTGTGGCAAATGCCATAATGGTTACTCATGGTGGACAGTGTCTGATGGAGCTCCCAGATTAAGATGGGTTTGAAAGCAGGATTGGCACCCACTTCCTAAACAACATGCCTTTGGAAACTCTATGAACATTAGAAAAATGATGATATTTATAGAACAGGGTTCAGGTCTTTTGTTCATAGGGTCAGTATGAGTAGTATTCAACTCGATGACACTTAACAACAAAGACCTATTGAAAAGTCAGCAATAGGTTAGTATTGACTTGATGGTACACAGCAACAGATAGCTCTTACAACAGTTCAATGGTCAAGACAATCTTTACTAGTTAAACTATTGTTTCGAGACTGCTTAAGTGAATGTTTATGGTTTAAGGTTTAGAGATTATTTCAAGGCAATAGTTTCAGGGATTCTCTCAGCCTTAAATAGCTCCAGGAAATCTGGATTCCATAAGAATCTGCAGTACCGTTCTTCTATAAAATTTTTTTATTACAATATTCAGTAATGATAGAAGGGTACAAAATGGGTTAGGTTTTTGTTTTTTTCTGATCTGACAGCAAATGGGGCATTACAGTAGTTTGTAGAGATCATTTATTTCATATTTCATTTCCTCTTTCTATGCCTGACTCTCTTTCTCCTATTGCACCAAGTGAATAGAGTCCAATCTTACCTTGGACAACTGCTTGAGAAATTTTAAAACATCAAGCACTGTACAAAAAACTAAGATTCAACCTCTTTATCAGTAATGAAAACAGACCCATTGAAGGAAAGGGATTGGCCTGAGATAACACAATTAACACGGAAACTAGAACCGATGGGTCTAGAACCTATGTGTCCAGATTTCTAATGCCTTTTCACCAAATCCCAGAAATCTTTCAAACTTTGAGACTATAGAATTATTTGAAAAGTTTTATCTTCCTAGAGAGGAAGGAAATCCCTTCTGTAATTGACAATGTTAATGACACTAGAGAATAGTAGATTTTCCCCTTAATCTTTTAGCCGCTCCTGCTTCCAGAAAGGGCACATAGCTCTTGCCAAATATAACCTCCATAATAAATATTGCTGTATTTTATCCTAAAGTCTTTGGTATGTTCCCATTTACTTTAAAAGATGTTTTTTATTTTTAAAAAATCTCAAATTATGACATACCTACAAATGGCCCCCTGTCCAGGTATAATGTCACACTTTCCATCGTTCAAGCAGAAGTCAGGCTGCAGGTCACACAGACTCTGACATGGCAGTTCTTCTACACTGAGGTACCCAGGGAAGCAGCTGCACTTTGCTTCTCCACTCCAGGGGTTGACGAGACACTCAGAAAATTCATTGCAGGCCTGAAACTTGCAAGGGTTGGCTTGATCCCCTAAAGCCTCAAACAAAACAAAGATTGGTGCAAGGAAAAGCAAAGTACAGAAATTGATCCACGTGAAGCCCATGCACTTACTAAGAAGCTTCTTCTAAAGTGCCCTAAGACATCCCCGCAAACACCACAAAAATAAAATTTTTCCTTATCTTTGATTGAAGGTTGATACTTCCAACTTTCTCGGAGCCAAACCATAAAATTAGAGCCAAAAGCACAAAATGCCATCACTCGAAACTTCAACCTCCGTGCCATATTATTGTAAACCTAAATGTGACAATGCACGTATACTGTCAATTTCTACAATTTTAACCTACTCTAGTGTACCTCGCCTCTGCAAATAGTGCTACAGAAATGGAGAGGGGGAAGAAATGAACTTGGAGAAGGGGAAGAAAGGAGGAGGGAGGAAAATGTATGAAAATGAAAATCCAACTTTTCTGCAAACTTTCATTAAAATTTAAAAAATTTATTCTTAAATAAATAAAGAAAAAGACATGGAGAGGAAGTGTCCAAAGACCATCTCTAAGGAGCCTCAGAGGTGAATGTAACACATTTAGAGTAGTTTAAGAAAAGTGATGATGTTCGTGGAAGCCAATATCAGAAAAATAAATCAGTTTGTGCCTTCCCGGCAATCTTCAATAATATATTGACTTAAGTAACTTTATTTTTAATTGATAGGATTATGGAGAATCTTATGAAAATTATTATAGCAACTAGCCAGAAATGAGTTAAAACAGTGGGCACGTGTCTTCCTTACTACCATGGTTCAACCACGGATTGTTCATTGACAAATGTCAGTCTGTGAATGGCTAATGGGCAAATGATGGCAGAGGTACCGAAAACTGAGAAAACAGGACAAAATTACCCATATGCTTCTGCACAAAGAAGCATAAAATTTAGTGAGCAGAATAAAGGAAGGGGAAAACACACTGTCCCTCCGTTTCCAGAGTCATTAACAGTGCTTGGGAAACAATGATCTCTTTGCTGTTCTAGAAATTGAAGATAAATTTGCACAAGCCTTGGGGCTTGGAAGATTTCTACAGCTAATCTTCCTTGGCTCTGCATGAGAATGGAGGAGTCATTGCCAAGATGGTCACATATAAGAATCTACAAGCGTGCTGACAGACAGACAACTTCTACTAGGTGACTGCATATCTGGATTCCACGGTATAGTTCCCAAGTATTCACAGCTTCAGTCTAGGACTCAATTAGAGAGTTTATAAGCAGAAAACAATCCCAAACTGGGCTAGTGGTGAGGAATGAGAATAAGAGGGAAAGATTATATTGCACCATTCTCATTGCTGATTGAAATTCAGGAGTTCCTAAGACTCCACTTGTGAAAACAAGTTATGCAAGAGACAAGTCAATGTTATCTCTAGCCAATCTTGAAATAAAGACAATATTTTAATTTTAGGAGTTTTAACTAGAATATATGTGTACTAGGAAAATTTCATTTAGAAAATAACAACATTTTGTGACCGTTCTTTGGGTGTCCATAAGCAGGTGCAAGGAAGAAAATAGAGTCTAAAAGAAAAATAAAACTTGCAACTCCCTTTTGCTTTCAAGTCCAAGAAACAGACTAAGTCTAATATTTTAATATTATAAATAAAAGATGGGTTTCCAGCTCTTTTTAGTCCTTTGTACTGGTAAAAGGAGAATAGCCTACAATTGGTGGCCCTAAGTAGAGAGTGTTCCATGATGACTTTACAGGAAAAAGGAAGTAAAACTGGAGCTTAGTTTGAGCTAGTAGACAGAGCTCTAAATTGCAGTATCAATTACACTCTTACTTTTCACAGGTTATTTAAAAGAATAGTTGATAGTTTCAGGGAAATGAATGGAAAGGAAATGTGAAGAATTCTAGATTAATAGTAAAGCTGGCTAAATTCTAGAGAAAATGTTGGCCAGTTAGATATGCCTTTGAAAAAAAAAAAAGATGACCATCTTTTAAGATAGGAATTTTAGATGGTGATCCCTAGCAGAAATAGTTTAAGTTGTTTACTACATTTACACTCTCATTCATTGTCATCAAATTGGAACTGACTCATAGTTCATTGTGCTCATGAAAAACCTATACCTATGCCAAGAGGCTGTTGTGTGAACAGAGCAAGAGAAAGTCTGCAGCTAGGGACCTCTCCAAATTACTGAGGAGTAATGATGTCACTGGGAGGATTAAGGTGCATCTGATTCAGGCCATGGTCTTTCTGATCATTTGCAATGAATCTGAGAGCTGTACAAAGAATAAGGATGATAGAAGAAAAATTAATGCCTTTGAGCTGTGGTGTTGGAGAAGAGCACAGAACATATCATGGATGGCCAAGAAAACAAACAAATATGTTTTGGAAAGGATGCAGCCAGAGTGCTCTCTAGAGACAAAGACAATGAGGTTTCACCTCACATACTTCAGGCATATTGCTAGGGGAGGCTATTTTTTATAGAAAGACATGGTACTTGGAAAGGTCAGCAAAGGAGAGGAAGACCCTCAACCAGGTGGGTTGACCTGGAGACTGCCCCAATGGGATCTAATATATCAGGAAATGTGAAGGTGTGAGAGGATATGACAGGGTTCAGATCTGTTGTTCATAAGGTCACTATGGGTTGTACTTGACAGCACATAACAACAAAAACAAATCACATGGAAGATTATCTATTTTTCTCCCTCAGAGCAGCTAGTGGATTTGAATCACCTAGCTTTGGGTTGACAGTGCAACTTCCTACTTACTAGGCCACAAACTTCCTCCAGTTACCCTCATATCATCAGTAAATATATGATGAATCAAATGTATTGTATTAGAAGTGCTTTCAGAAAATCAAAATCAGACGGCCAAGTTTGGATAACATAAAGAACAACCGCAAGGGTCAAGAGACAACTGAAATTAAAAATTCCGCAGAAGGAACTCAGAGCTGGAAGTGATTAAGAGAAATATTAGCTCCCTGAGAATCCCTAGAGTTAGGGGGAAAGGATTCACATGCAGCAGGCTAGTCTATTTGAATATTAAAGAAGCACGTGGTTGACTGACAGGCAGCTAACTTGAAATAGCATGCAAAAGTGAAGTAAATCCATTGATTTACTGCATTTTCTCTAAAAGAAGTGAATTAGCTACTACAAATATGTTATCAATAGTAATTGATTGTATTTGTAAGAGCTTGCCATGTGTGTGTATGTGTGTGTGTGTGTGTGTGTGTGTGTGTGTGTAGTAAGCAGAGTTTCCACAGTTTCTTACCACTAGGCCACTGCACTGCCAACCCAAAGGCACACAGAATCCACGAGCTGTTTGTTAGAAAAAGATGAGTAATCTCCTCTGGTGTGATTTACTGCCTCTAAAAAATCTGTTGGAGGGTCAGTTATAAATCATTTCCAACATTCCAACTTCAACAGCTTTTATTTTTTACATTTTATATGTTCAGCCCTTAGCACAATCCTGAGAAACACACAAGGAAGTTAATATCATCCTCATTTAATATATGAGAAAACAGAAACTCAAATTAACTCACCTAGGACCCAGCAAGTCATATATAGCAAAATAAAGGCAAGAATCCAGCTCTTCCAAATTAAAGTTAATTGCTATTCCACTACACCACATGGGCAAAAATATACAAAATATCCTATTTTTCAAGTGACAACTAGATTTGGATACCTGGGACTTGGCTAATTTATTTCCCTTACTTTTAATAAATAATGATCACTCAAGAATCTTACAGGAAGAATGTTTCTTTCCCTGCTAAAGAACAAGGTTTACTTTCAAGCCATTTGAGAGTCAGAGGTATTGAAGAAACATGAAACCACATGGTCTACCTTCCACTCAAAGCCACTGTCGTCTGGTATATGAGAGGGAAAGGACAAAATTTAAAGATCCCTCAGTATCCCTAATTTAAACAAAGGTTCGTTTCATTAATCACCAGTACATACTGAGTGTCTTCTGTCTACAAAGCACAGTGCTAGGTTCTAACTAGATAATAGTTAATAGAACATGCAGTCTCCATTCTTTTTTGATCATTAACTGATTGAAATAATATTTAAATAGCAATGCATATATATTAGCATTCTTTTTTAGAGCTCCTTGAACTTCAACATAATTTATTGTAATTACTTTTCCTAGCATATTAGCATTCTTATAACAATGACAAATATGATAGAGAAAAAAACATGGTGTTATAAGAGGCTAATAGGAGAGAAACAATCTAATTGATAGGATTTACCTCTATAGTGAAATAAGGGCATGTATCTAAGGGTTGGGCAATGAATAAGGATGACAGAAGAAAATTTGGTGCCTTTAAGTTGTGGTGTTGAAGGAGAGTACTGAATATCCTATGGACTGCCAAAAGAACAAAAATGTATCACTAGGAGAAGGTGAAGCTAGAATGCTCCTTGGAAGCAAGGATGGTGAGGCTTTATCTTGCATACTTTGGGCATGTTGCTACAAGAGGCTATTCCTTGGAGAAGGACATCCTACTTGGAAAGGTAGAGGGACAGCAAAGGAGAGAAAGACCCTCAACCAGGTGGACTGACACAGAACTGCATCAATTGGCTCATGTGTGTCAGAGATTGTGAGGTGGGCACAGAATAAGACAGGGTTCAGATCTATTGATTATAGACTCACTGTAAGTTGTACTCCACTTGACAGCACCTAATAATAATTAAAAGCAATCTAGCTTATGGGTGAGGCAGTAAAAGTCTTGAGGAAGGGGTAATTGAACTGAGGCATAAAAGATGATCTGAATCAGTCAAGAGGAACAAGTCATTTTAGGCATATGTGACAATATATACAAAGGCTTTTCCTCTAGAAAAAGCTTTCTAGACCTGAAGAACTAAGAATGAGCTACTTTTACTAGAACCTGGTAAGAAAAGAGGTTAAGTTTCATTGAATAAAATTGGAGAAGACAGGAACAAGGCCTTGCAGTTACTGAACCAGTAGCCATTGAAAGGCTTTAAGAAAGAAAGTAAAATAATCTGATTTTTAGCAAGAGTATTCTGGTTGCTGCTGACTGGAGAATGGATTTGAGGAGGAATAAGAGAAGAAAAGGAAAACTGTTCCGAATAAGAGATGATGATGACTGGACTTAGAACAGTGTTAATGGAGATAAGAGATGTGATTTATATTTTGAATTCATTATCAATTCAGTCTCATAAGAGACTGAAAGTGAGCGTAACAGAAAGTGAGATATTGGGCATGAATTGCCTGTTTCTGGGCTAAGTAAATGAATAGAGCCTTCATGTAACAAGATAGAGAAACTAAAGGAATGGATCTAGTTGGAGGCTAAAGGGACAAGAAAAATGACGGCTCACTCTTAAACATCTGAGTTTCTATATGGTGTATCGTAGTGGAGATTAGCAAGTAATTAATAAGATACTGATTCTGGAGCTCTGAGGAGATATCTGAATTAGACATGAAAATGTCCAAAATGATTTACATTCCTATAGGACTTAACCCAGTAAAAATGGATGCAATCATTTAGGAGAATGATATAGTAGGAGAAAAGGTTCCCAGGCCCAATCTGCTGGGTTGGCAACTTAGGACTTAGTAGGAACAGGCCCAGTGGATAAATAGATGAGAGGGAGAGGGAGAGGGAGAGGGAGAGAGAGAGAGAGGAAGAGAAAGAGAGAGAGAGAAATGGAAAATGCAACAGGAAGTGACAAGACAACATATATAGACAACCCTTTTGAAAAGAGAATAAGCACATGTCCTTGAGAAGAAGTATTTCATTACTTAAAGAGATGTGGAAAATTTGTCCAACATAGATTGGTTTTACCCCTACAAATTCATTTTCACTCAACGTGAAAGAAAATATACAATAATCATTGGATTCCAATCTATAATATGCAATATCATTACCTGATTCTACATCAAGGGAATGTTTATCAATAGCCAAGTTCATAGTCTGGTAAGCCGCAGTGCAAAAGTCTTCGAGAATCATGTATACAGCATTGTTGACATCAGCCGGAACAGGCTTGGCAAATTTCATCCTGCTGTTCACCACAATGCTACCATTCCTGAAGTTCAGGATTTCCAAGTTCTGGAATCCTGTGAGATTTGACTGGAGATAAGGAACCAGCTACAAGATATGAAAAGTGGAAAAAAAAAAAAGAAAGAAAAGTGGTAGGTTATTATTTCATTTATACCAGAAAGATAATTAATCAATCAGAAGATAACTTTGGAATTATTTAAAACCACTAAGAGCTTCGTGGTGATACACAGCAGCCGGTAACATTTGCAAAACAGTTTTAAGTACCCAGAGAGTGTGTTTTGTTTTACTGAAGGGTGGTAACAGTGATAGTATTCTCCAAACCACTTGTCATGGAGTCACTTCTGATTGTGTATCAGAATAGAACTGTGCTTAAGAAGATTTTTTCCAATGACTAATTTTTCAGAAGTATATCACCAAACCTCCTTTCAAGCTAGCCTTGAACCAACATCTTATTTAGTTAGCATCTAAGCATATATGATAGTTTGCACCACTCATGGATTGAACAGGATGGACTGACATAGTGACTGTAACAATGGACTCGAACATATCAGAAATGGTGAGGGTATCAGGATAGTGTAAGATAGGGCAAAGTTCAGATCCATTGTTCGTTCATAGGGTCACTATGGGTCATAGTCTACTTGATGGCATCTAACAATAATGGCCTCTACAGCATTCTATGTAGCTGCAAAACTTTGTTTTGAGATAAAAATAATTCTTGGAGGAAAAATCTCAAGCTTATTTTAGACCCTAAAATCAGAAAATACAATCTTAGTCCCAAACCCGTCACATCCCTTATGCATTCCATTTCTTGCATGCACCCATCTTAATTCCCTACCAACCTTAACTAGACTGCGATGCTACTTGTAGATGATAAAAAATAAATGTTCGCAACAGACTGCACTTGCCTTGGGTCAGATCTTGTGTACCAGGGGATGAAAGGAACATCTACAGAATCTATGCCTGTCCATGTTTGATAACTTGGGCTTACCAATTCTAAGAATCTTTCCTCCAGGGCTTTATATTCCAAAGAGTTTTTATTAAATAGGTCTTCTGAAAACATCATGTTAGTCACTCGGAGACTGAAGAAAACCACCAAAGCTCCTGCTGTCTGAGTATGATTCAAGCCATCTCCTTTTGTGGACGCAGCCACAGGAGCCATGTCTGTAGGGTAAACATCTGTAGATCTTTCCACATAACTACTAAGCTTGCCATTTTCCTCCTGAGTTAGCTCAGGCTGATAGTAATCAGTGCCTACCCGGTCCAGTTCTAATGAAATATCCTGCACACCCATAACTACGTCATCCTCCAGCTGTGGGGAGCTTGTAGTTGGAGGCAACTTGGTAGGTTGTGTTATGGAATCTTTCAACCAGAGCTTGTCACTGCGCTGTGTTGTGCTTGCCAATAAGTCTCCAGACAACTTCCCTAGTAAAGAAGTTCTTAATTCTACCGCTGATTCTGGCAACACAGTCCACACAGATTGTGTGTCTGGCTTCATTGCTGAAACCTCGCCGTCAAACCATTCATGGCCAGATGACTCTGAAGGCTGTTCCACATCCTCCATTAAGAAAGAGTCTATTTTATCAGTTTTATCAGTAGAGGCAGAGATTTCTGTTGATGCCGACAGGAGAGGTGCTTTGGTGACTGAGTAATAGTCAGTGTAGGGTATCTCTGATCTGTTCTTAGAGAGAACCAGCGATATGGATTTAACTGTGGTCTCTTCAAAGACAGGCATAGTAAATTCATCAAGGGGCTCTTCTTCTGAAAAAGTGGATCTATCATCTTGCCAGTCTTCTGAGGACTGTTCAATAGTTTGGTCTGTCGAACCCATTTTATCATCTATATCTAGTTTCTCATCTCTAGTCTCAGTTGGCAAAAACGAATCTTCATCTTCAAGCCATGACTTGGATAGTGGTTCGGTTGTCTCTAATAAAATTTCCTTCCATGGCCAAGTAACAGTATCAACCTTTTGTCCAGACCCTGAACCTAAACCATTCTCAAATATAAATTCTTTTTCCATGTATGTGTCTGGCAACAAAGTGCTCACTTTCAATTTGTCTTTGACTGTGGAGGTCACAGAATCCAAGCCAAAGGGTGTAGTTATTTCTTTAAAAAGAAGATCTAATGTGGCAGCCACATATGGTGACGATGTCAAAAGCACCTCAGAGTCTTTGAAGGGTGGTAATGTTTCTTTTGGCACTGGATAAGTGAATGGACTTGAAGGCAATGGATCAGCAGAAAGATAATCTTCTGACTCTTCAACATAAATTAATCCTAAAAAGAAAAGTTTCCATTAATTAAGCTACAGACTTGGCAAAATACATTCCTAGTCCCCTGATACAGTGGGTTGCATGTTTTCACCATTAGGTTCATAGAGGTAACGACTTTTTTTTTTTTTTTTTTTCATTTAATACAGCTAACAAACAACAAGGAAGCTCTGGTGGCCTAGTGGTAAGAAGCTGCAGTACAATCCTGAAAATACATAGTTCGAACCCACCAGCTGCTCTGCAGGAGAAGGATGGACAATCTCCTCCTGTACAATTAACTGCTTCTGAAAACCTGATGGAGGGTCAGCAATGGGTCGGTTTCAACTCTCCACGGTAAACAATAACAACACAGCAAGCAAACAAGAAGGCCTAATAAAGCTTTTCTGATGTGAGACAATAAACTACTAATATACTCCTTTTTTTTAAGAGCAACAAGTCCTCCACTAGTGAAATAGTTGATCTTCATTTTATTTTTCTTAAGTCATGAAACTGAAGGACTGCCGATAACCATACTGGTAGCACAGAAATTGGATCCAGTGGGAACCTAGAAACATTAGGAAATGTAATTGTCTTTGGACTTTCAATTTCTCTATTGTGTTTATTACTCAGCGTCCTACAAGTTTATTGAAGGTTCAGAATTCTTGAGTTATTTTTATATCTTTATTCTTGCTCCTATTTCACATTTATGATTAATTGCTAATGAGTTGATTTTAAGGTATGGAGACCCCATGTGTGCAGAGTACAACTGTACTCCTTAGGGGTTTCAAGGCTGTGGACCTTTCAGAAGTAGATCACCAGAGGTTTTTTTCACCTCTGGCTAAGTTCAAACTACCAACTGTTACATTAGTAGATAAGCAGTTGAACCACCTAGGGACTTCACACACATACCCTATCCCTCACCCACAGTAATCCCCACACCTGTTTCCTCAGTATCTGAAATATCATCCATTTCATTTTTATTCCATTTTTTTGCAATCTCCGTAGTGGCTGTCCTAGCTCAGGATTTCTCTTTTTAAGCTTACTGCAATCTAAAACCTCTAGATTGGATCATTATAATAAGAACATCTTTGATGTTGTCTCAAATTTACCATTCTAATATTTAAGTAATAAAGTAAACATGAAAACAAACATGGCAGCTTCATGTATTAAAAAGTGTGTTCTACAGAGTTGTCAATAACTAGGTTTCTTGTTTGGTTGGGGTTTTTTTACTGGGTTTTTGTTTTCGCTGTTGCTGTTGTTTTTAGAGTAGTTACTATGCCTGTCTTCCAAAAGGCCTCTGGGCTGACTCAAACTATCAACCTTTCAGTTACCATCCAAGTGCTTTAATCATTTTACCACCCAGAGACTCCAAATTAGTTTTACTAGAAATTTAATTATTTATCTTTAAGTATTACCTCCAGAATATCTATTAATAGATGTTGTTGTAACCTATTAATAGATACCCACTGTGTTTCATCAAGTTAGTTTCTTAAAATTCACCTCTCTGGATTCTGCATTCCAATCAAATAAATCTGATTATTCCCTTATTCATATAACTTTCTCAAGATCCTTCCCCATCATGAATATCATTGTGCTTTCCCCTGTGCCTAGTCTTGACCTCCTTTAAAAACTCTAGTCATGTGCTACCATAAAATAAAGAACTTTGTAAGATACTGGAATTTCTCACCGTCTTCTAAGAACTGAGATCCAGAAGTCCTTTCCTCAGAAGCCACAGGCAAGTCAGGCAGAAGCTCTGCTGGAGTGACAGAATGAAGAGTCAACCCGCTAACCTCTAAACTCTCTGAAGGAGAACTGAGGTCCACCTCCAAGGGAAAGGCTAATTTGGGTGTAGACGCTATATCACCCAAAGGACGTTCTGACCAAAGTCCCCTGCTAGTGGTGGAGGGAGGGCCAGAGCTGAAATCAAGTGGTGAAATACTGCTTGTGGTAGATGCATCTGCTGAAGGCCATTCAGCTTGAAAGGTATTATCCTGAGGGGGAAAAAAAGGCTAAATCATATCATAGATAAAAGAAACACAGTAAAGTGATTTTTCTAAAACAAAAAGGCAATATCATATTGGGGTGAGGAGCCATACACACCAGAGTCAAACAGATCTGTAGTCAAATTCCAATTCAATCACTTACTAGATGAAAAATCTAGGGATAATCTACTGAAATTCGTGGAGGATGTGGGAATATTTGAGATAATACATTTGAAAGTGGATTTGAGGGAGAAAATATTTCTCTTGATTTAGAAAGTTTCATGTCTTCTTCCTTAGTAACTTAAATTACTTTTAAAATATATAGCAGTTGCCAGTATCTATAACTATTAGGTAAGCCCTAACCACATTGCCTATCCCAGGAAAGAACAACTATCAATTTTAGTCATTAACTAAAGTCCTCAGTTTTGAGCAGAAAGTCTTATTAAACTGTAATAAGATTATTTCAAATGAAGAGCAGAACTGTGAAAAGGCATCACACATATAAAAATACAAGTTTCACATTGTCTTTTGATAGGAAATCTGGTGGCCTAATGGGTAAAGACTTGTGCTGCTAACACAAAGCCAGTGCCCCTCTGGGAGTTCAAAACCATTGTTATTTTAAAAAAAGAAAGAAAGAAAGAAAGAAAATTGAAAAAAAAACAACACCAAACCCAACTTCCAATGGCTTCTTGGGAGAAAGATGGGCAATTGCCTCCCAAGAAATCTAAAGCCTCCAAAAATACACTGGAGGGTCACCTATGAGTTGGTCCCAAATCAATGGCAGAAGAGCCTTTTGACTAATGTATCTTAGAATCTAACTTCAGGAATAGAGAATTATATAGCTCATCAGAGGTAATTTTGTGCAGTAAACTTGGTTTGGGATTACTGATTTGTGCGCAGGGAGATTTTACATAACCTAGAACCACAAAGACACATTGCCATATATTCAGCTAAGAGAAAATAAATTATTCTAGTTCTTTAAAAGCCATGAATCAGTGAATAGAGCAAACATTAACTTTCAGACAAATGAGAAAATTAGAATCTAGAATATAGAGGATAAAGATAAACAAAACATTAGTTTTTGTGTTATCAGTTAATTGCACAGGTGTTTTGTAAATACATACTATGTTTTATTACAAATCTTGTATTGGGCGAAATGGGTTCATACTTATAAACATAATAAAAATATCAAGTGCTAGGACTGGAAGGACTCCTGAGAATTATGAAGTCCTTTTTCTCTTAAAGTTAATAAAAACTTCTCCAATTAAAATGTAAGTAAATGGAAAGAAAATTACTGAGGTCACAAAAAAAACAGAGGGTAAAAAAACAGAACTAGAATCTGCGCCTAAATTTCTCAGCCCTAGTGCTTTCTCAGATTATTAATTCAAATGTGTATGTCTGTGTGTATATGTGTGTACACTTAGATAGATGAAGGACAAATTCTTACAGAATAAACGAGAGCCAACAGACATATTCATGCCTGCTCACACATGGGTCTACACGTCTACAAGGTTCCTAGGTGAATACATAGGAGACAACTGACATCATTTTTCTAATATTTTAAAGTCAGTTATGTATAAAGAAAAGTAGTTTGGGGTCCTCTCCCCTTCCTTTCTTTTTCTAGTACCTAAACTATAAACAGGGAGCTCTGGTGGCCTAGTGGCAAGGAGCTGCGCTGCAATCCTCAAGGCACAGGGTTCAAAGCACCAGCTGTTCTGCGGGAGAAGGATGGACAATCTCCTCCCATGCGAATAACTGCCTCTGAAAACCCACCTATCGGTCAGCTATAGGTCAATTGTGACTCCATGTTATACAACGAAATGATAAACACATTCATGGAAAAGCAGTAACGCCACTTGCTCAATAACAAGTTCTGTTCCTCATAAAACTGGTTATGATGCTGACAATCATACTAGAGAACTCATTTGTTTTCTCTTAATCTAAAACTACTTCCAGAGACTTGTTAAAGTTAACTAAATTTCCAGTCAAAGGAAGTGTATTTACATTCTTGGAAATTAAAAATGTTATTTCTTTTAATTCCAAGTAAGATGGTTTCAGCACTTAATCTATGCATGGTGTTGTTGTTGTTGTTGTTGTTGTTGTTGTGTACCATCGTGTGAGTACCGACCCACAGTTGACTCTTTGAGAGGCAGTAAATTGCCATCCTTCCCCCACAGAGTAGCTGGTGGATTTGAATCACATACCTTGCTTTGCTTTGACAGCACAATTCCTTACCACTAAGTCACCAGAGCTCCCTAAACCTATGCATAAGAAACTGAATTCTATTAGCAAGGACCTGAGGTGGGATACACCCTAGAAAAGCAGCTAAATCCTCAATGAAAAATAAAATCTCAATATGTACTATTTCAACATACGTACAAACTAAATTCCTTTTCATGTTCTAAAAACACAAAGGAGAGCAATTTCTCATTTTTAACAATGCCATCATGCCACAAATAGGCAACATAAAATGAGAACTTTTTAGATTGAAAACTGAACTTTTTCAATAAGGAATACTATTTATTTCAAATAAATAGCCCCTCTCTTTCACAATGGATGGCAATTAAGCTGACTTACACATTTTGACAGGTGAGCACATAGATTCCAGGAATAGCACTTCATCATTTATTTTTACACGAATAGATGTTCCCATAGTAACACATTCAACTCATGAATTCTTCTTTTAGTTCAATATAGTATATTAACAGGTTTAATATTTTATTGGCCTCTTTCATTTCTATTAATGCCAATTGAAATGTTTGCTAGTGCTATAGAAAGTATACTGTGCAACAAGTGATTTTCCAAGTCTAGATGCCAGGAAGCTATCAAGTTCAATATCCCAACATTTCTAACCTCTAAAATAATTTTTTCAAAACCCAGCTAAAATTCTCACCTCAATACAGTTAGCTCGTGTTAACAATTTGCAAAATAAATAACCAAGGACTTAAAACTGATCATTGTTTCCTGTCCTACTATCAACCCCTAAGAGTTCCATTCACTTTGATTTTCCACCATCATCCTCCAATTCTTGCTTAATGTCCTATGGTTACCTTTTTTCTTCTTCTTAATTTTTATTAATGATTTTTTAATGCAACATATATGTATTTTTACAGCACATTCTTTCCATTTAATTTTCCCCATTCACTCATTGTTGCACATTTTACTCCCTGCCCTCCCTTCCCCCCAGTCCGTTTTTCTCTTTGTAAAGAAAAGAAAAATTCTGTCATTGCCATACAATCTGCTCCCCTCAAGTCCACAGTCCACTTTCCTATGCATTTCTTCTTCTGTAATCTTGTCATGAAAATAATACCTAATCTGATATTCCTTTTAAACAGTCATCTGTTTCAATGCAGTATACATTATTTATCCCCTCTTTTCTTAGGTTCTCCACAAATCCTATGTCAGTCCCATTTTACAACAGTAGCACTATGTAGTATTTGTCCTTTTGTGACTGAGATATTTCACTCAGCATAAAGTCCTCCAGAGTCACCCATTTTGTATAACATTTCATAAGTTCCTTGTTTTTCAATGCAGCATAGTATTCCATTGTGTTAATATACCACAGCTTCTCTATATATTCGTTTGTTGATGAGCACTTGGGTTGCTTCCAACTCTTTGCTATTGTGAACAAAGCAGCAATTAAGATGAGTGTGCATATATCTCCTTGAGTGGCAGTTCTGGTTTCTTGATATTCCTAGTAGTGGTTACCATTATGTTGTTGTTATTATTATTATTAATAATAATGCATGTACTGTCAAATCAGATCTGGCTGGTACAGGAGGAAATTGTCCCTTCTTCTCCGGCAGAGCATCTGGTGGATTTGAACCATGTACCTCGGGGATTGCAGTGCAGCTTCTTGCCACTAGGCCAACTGGTTTACTGCAAATGCCTGGTTAGTCAGTACTGCTTGTTATTAAAGGGGCAGTGTGGTTGAGGTGTAGCCTCTTTCTGGTAGAAAGAAATGTAAACTCAATGGTACCAGTTCTTTCTGGTTTTAATAGAAACTGTGGGTCTAAATTTTTCATGCAAAAGTTTTCCAGTTTTTAAACATTGGTTCATTTTTAAAAAATGTGACCCACTATAGATAGATCCATCCTGGACTTGTATAATGTGACCTCTGGCTTATAGAGGCCTACTTGGCCTTACATTCTCTGGAACAGTCTCACAATTTCTCTGTGGTTAAAAAAGGCCCAGGTTGAATATGATTAGAAGGAATGGAGCCTTGAGGCACCATGTATGCCGGGAACAAGCACTACATCCTGGACAGATATCTCTGATAGCATCTGCATTACCCTGTGTATTTATAAATCTGTCTAATACTACCAGACAGAAAACTTCTTATACCCAGGAGCCATGCCTTATTCATCTTAGTTTCCTCATAAACTCACAAACTTTGCTCAAAAACTGTACAAAATAAATAAATTTGAACATATTAATATGAGTGAATATATAGATAAAAATGTATTTGTCTTATGCTGATCTCCATCTAAATTCATTTACTTATACAAAATTCATGAAAATACTCTTTCTAGTGACTCTACATTTCTAGTGACTAAGTAATTCTGTAACTGAGTAGAAGAATTAACTTCCTGTATTTAATGGTTAAATGAATGTTGTGCAGACTTTCTACATTTTCACTACTGGATAAATGCCAAGAAACAAAGATTTCAAAGTAGTTAGAATGAAAAGAAGTTTCAAGAAAGCAGATGGAGAAAGGAATGTAGCATAGAAAGAGAATCTTTTTGCTTTATTTACATGATAATAAAAGTTTTCTGTACTTCTTACAAAAATGTCTTTAGTATTGAAACTATAGGTACTGTTTTGAGTGTTGTTGTTTTAACTGCTCTTAAAGAAGTAGATTTCTCCTTAACTGGTAGCCCTACCCATGAAAGTAGTGAGTGTTGTTGTTGTTGTTGTTGTTGTTGTTATTAGGTGTCCTCAAGTGGAGTACACTCAGAGAGACCCTGTGAATAGCAGATCTTCACCCTGACCTAACCTGTGCCATGTGGGCCCACTGCTGCAGTCAGTGTGTCAATCCATCTCGTTGAGGGTCTTCCTCTCTTTCATTGATCATTAACCTTTTCAAACATGTTTCTTTCCAAGGAATAGCTCCTTCTAACTGAACCAAATTATGTGAAACAAAGCTTCACCATCTTCATTTCTAAGGAACACTCTGGCTGCAATTTATCCAACACAGATCTGTTTGTTCTTTCGGCTTTTCATGGCATATTTAATACTCTTCTTCAACACTATCGCTCAAAGGTATCAATACTTGGACCAGGAAGCACTGCATGGTTCAAAATCAGGAAAGGAGAGTATCAGAGATACATTCTGTCTCCATACCTTTTAAATCTATACACAGAACAGATCATTCAGGAAGCAGGGCTTTATGAGGAGGAATGAGGCATCAGGACTGGAGGAAGACTCATCAACAACCTATGTTATGTCAATGACACAATCTTGCTTGCTGCAACTGAAGAAAACCTAAAGCACTTGGTACTGAAGGTCAAGGACTGTAGTCTTCAACATGGATTGAAGCTTAACATCAAGAAGACAAAGATTCTCACCACTGGGCCAGATGGCAGCACATGGTAGATGGAGAAGAGACTGAGGTTGTTAACAAGCACAGCTTGCTTGGTTCCACAATCAACTCTCTTAACACCAGTAGTCAGGAAATCAAAAGACTAATTGTTTTGGGAAAATACGCTGTTGTGTACCTCTCCAGAGTTCTGAAAAGCAACAGTGTCAGTCTAGAGACTAAAGTGCACCTAATCCAGGCCATAGTCTTTGCAATTACTGTCATATTTCAGGGAGCTGGATAATTAAGCTGGATAATTAAGGATGACAGAAGAAAAATTGATGCCTTCAAATTGTGGTGCTGTAGAAAATTCTTGAATATACAATGGACAGCAATGGACACCCTCTTGGAGAGGGTGAAACCAAGTTTCTCCTTCCAGGCTAGAATTTTGAAGCTCTGTCTCACACACTTTGGGCATATGGCCAGGAGGGACTGATCCTTGGAGAAGGACATAATGCTTGAAAGGGTGGAGGGACAGCACAGGAGAGGAAGACCCCCAAGAAGATGAATTGATACAGTAACTGGGGTGATGGGGATTAGTGTGTCAGAATTAGTGAGACGGGCTCAAGACAGGGCAGGCTCCAGACCTATTGTACATCAGGTCGCTATGGGTTGCAGGCAACTCGATGGCACTTAACAACAACAACCATGTCCTGAAATATTTTAGGTTTGGTACTGTTACGGAGTAGAGCACTCAATAAAACAGAGTAGTGGAACGAAGAGGAAAGTTCTTTTCATGCTATTTCTACTTAGATTGGGCATATTTTAGGTTAACGGTAAAACGAGAATTTAAAGTCCTCCTCATTTGTCAGATATCGTATTTTTTTTCCTTACTTTCTTTTCATATACATGGTTTTATATGCAGTTGTACCATGAAGTCGTGACTGGAAAGGTGGAAGGTCCCCAAAGGAGAAGAAAACCCTCAACCAAAGGAGCTGACACAGTGACTACAGCAATGGGCTCAAGCACATCAGAGATTATGAGGAAGGCGTAGGATAGGACAGAGTTCAGATCTGTTCTTCAGAGAGTCACTATGAGTCATTCTTGTCAATGGCCCCTAACAACAACAACAAAATATGCTCTGGTGGCCTGGTGGATAGAGAATTTTGCCACCAACTTAAAGTTGGACAGTTTCCACTAAAGAATCCACTCTATGGATCCATTCATTTAATTTAGAGCCTCTGAAAACCAGCTGGAGGACCAACTATAAGGCCTTTCCATCTAGACAGAAACGAATATTTTCAGTGTGTGCTTGGAAGGGAGCTCTGGTAGGGAGTTGCACTGTTAACCCAACGATTTTGTCTCTCTGGCAGTTCTAATTTACTTCTAATCTGCATGGGAGAGTAATGGGCAATCTCTACCCACACAATTTACAGCCTCAAAGCCCAGGGGATGACCAGCTATGTGTCTAATCCAACTTGACAGCAATGAGTTTAAGTTTTTTAATATGCTTTAGAGTCTAAACTTCAAAACAATTTCTGAACAAAAGTCAATACTCCATACCTATATAAATCAGTGTTTAAAAAAGACAAAACCATTTCTGGGCAATTCTTAAACAACTCAGTGGTCACTTATGGCATAATTATCACCAAACAAGCACAAGCCATAAATAAGATGTCTGCTGTGCGTGGACTTTGGAAATCCAGGCTTCATTTAACCACTGTGGAAGACATAAGTTTTCTGAACCAATACTTGGAACCCATGAGCTGACAACTATGAGTAATATTGTAGGGCTGATGCCAGAGAATATTTTAAATGCAGACAGTTTGGCAAATTCATGAGGTCAAAATAAACAGATGAAGGTAGAAAGGAGAGAACTGAGGGCCGGGTTCTAGCCATAAAACATGAAAATGTACTTACCAAAATAGATGGTGTGGTTGCCCGGAGACTTGAACTTTGGGTGCTCCAAACTGGGTCTTCAGTTTGGAGAGACAAAACTCCTCTCACTAAGGAAATAATAATATTAAAGAACCTTTCTAGTAGCATTCTTTCTTTTAATAGCTTGAATTTTTGAAGACCACAAGCAAAGACATAAAAGTCGAGACTTAAAAAGGCTTGCTACTTATATCAGTACAACTGTCTGAACTGTAGGAGTCCAAGATAAAATGTGTTTCCACTGTTAGAGTTGTACTACTCTTGTATTATCTCTTTTCTCATTTCAGTATTTAATCTTTTCAATATTGATATGAGCCAGTAATTTTAAAACTAATTTATTAAAAATTTCAAATAAAAGTTGAACTGAATTTCAACTCTTTTGATTGGTGCTAAAAATAGCAATTATGCAAAACAACTCCCTTTTTGTGCTTTTGGAAAATGAACTAAGATACAATTATCTGTCAGCAACACTTAAGAAGCATAAATGGGTCAATTATATTACTTAATTGAACAAAGATTTATTGAATCTTCACTAGTTACTAAAGACCTACTGAAGTCAAAGTTATAAATACTAATAAAGCCAAGGTGTTATTCTGGAAGTATTTTCCTTGTCAGAGAAAAAAACACAAATTATAAAATGACATGAGGAGCATAAATACAATGTATTAAAACATAAAAGAAGCAATTGCTTTTGCCTAGCGGAGAGAAGGAGTCAATGAACGCTAAGAAGAAAAGATTGCCTGGAAGGTAACGTGATATATTGCCTCAAACTAGAGGAAGAATCTTTCTTCACTCACTTGTTTTCACTGGCCTGACCTACCAGAACAATAAAAACAAAATTCCCATACAATAAAAACAAAATTCCCATTTGGCTTAATAGTTTCTAAAATTACTTTCCCACAATGAGAGCAATGATGTGGTCTTACATGAAAAAGAAATGCTGAAAGATCAAGGGCAATCGTGTATTTTTCAGATGCTAACCATGTGAAAATGCCTAGAAAGCTTCAGCTATTTTGAACTCTCAGGAGTGTTAGCGTCATGGTATGCAACATGTTGCACTGCCAACCAAAAGGTCTTTGGTTTGAATCTACCTGCCACTCCATGGGAGAAAGATGGGCAGTCTCCTCCCATTTATAGCCTTGGAAATTTATGGCAGTGGGTTATTCAGAACTCTAAAGTTGTCATAGGAATGGATTTTAGAAACAAAATTCTGAACAATATAAAAATACAATCATGGAGTTGTACAATTTGATGACTGGGGGTTGAGGGAAATTGGAAGAACCTGTTCTGGAAAATAATGTACTCGAATTTTGTAAATAAACTAGTTTAATCAACTAGTACAATAAAAAAAAATACATCTAATGAAAAGCCAAGATACATGAATTGGTGATGCTGGACACCCTGAAGCTTTTTTTTAAATTATTATTATTATTATTTGGAAATTCTGGGTTGCTGACCTCTTGTAGGACACCTTTTGGGAAGGTAGCACCCCTATCTGGAAGACCCAGCTATGCTATTTGCAGATTGAATTTCCAAAACCTTACTTTACCCTTTTCATAACCTTAATTTTCAGGCTTTTCTCCCACCATCTCAGTGATTCTCCTGGGGCTTGCCTCTTCTGTTTAATTTAAGTTCCGCCTCCCTTAAATCACGGCTTCTGGGACCTTCTACCAACATGCTGACTCCATGAGCAACTCCTGCCTGGTTTTGCCAAGGACTTGAATAATTGATACCAAGCCTCTTCTCCTTTCACTTTTTTATTTGGTCCAACAAGACTCAACAAAGATATAGAGTATATAAGAAAATAAGCCTACAGTACCAAAACAACAATGACTTCCTAGTGTTTTAGAACTGATAGCTTTAGTGCCAGCTTCAGCAGCACATACATTAAAATTTGAATGATACAGAGAAGATTAGCATGGCCCCACGCAAGGATAACACATCAATTTATGATGTGTAAAAGTGAAACAATGTGCATAAATGAAACACAATATAACGAAATTATTTTAAGCAAACAAGCCCTTTTAACTAATCTATGAAAAGTAGCTGCATAGCTAATGCTCCTTTCTTCAGGTAATCCCTACCTCATACAGGCTAGAGAATGCTCAGAACCATACAGAGTTTAGGAAAATTCAGTTTTGTCAGAGCTAATCAAACTCACCACTGATGAGCTGAAGGGAATTCGGGTCTGGAATCAAAGAGGAATTTCCTTGCAAAAAGTTCTGGTGTAGTGTCTCAGCAATATAGTCTCTGAAGTTACTAATTGTATAAACAGCTGTGGGCTTATCATCAAATTCCACAAGGCCATGGTTTTCCACTTTGTTGGAATGAAGGCTAATTACGTCCCAGGTTGTGTTGCTGATGGCCTCCCCATTGAAGGTAACTGCATAATGAACATCTACACCACTATGGATGAAAAGAAAGAACAAAATTAGGGTATGTTCATATACTTCTGTTGTTAGCTGCATCTATGCAAGAACTCTACACTGAACAAACGCTGCCTCCATCTAGTACTTCAAAGGACGCACAAATAAAGGATCATGGAACCCATAGAAAACAAACATGTGACAAAAGGTGCATCTCAAATGAGCATGGGTATCATCACCATTCTCTCCACACTCTGGGCAACCTTTTGCCAACACCTACCCCTTCCCAGGAAACAGAAAGTCATCATTCTAAGAATTGGGAAAGCGTTCCTAAAAGTCTTAGAGAGGCCATCTCTGTGAAATTACCTGCACATTATCTTCTCCTACAGTCATGGTTGAACTGTGTCCCCCCAAAAGTATCTGTCTATTTTCTATGCCATAATTCCCTGTGCTTTGTAGTTTTCTTCTATGTTGTGATCTGATCTCATTATATTCCATTTTGTGTTGTTGTTGTTGTTGTTATGTGCCGTCAAGTAGCTTGCAACTATGCAACAGCCCTAAAACTCTGCTCTGTCCTGTGCCAATCACACTGTCTCTGATACACCCATCACGATTACCCTAGTCACTGAATTAATCCACTTCCTGCGCCTGCCCTCCACCCTCACCAAGCATGATGTCCCTCTCCAGGACTGGTCCCTCCTTAAAAAATGTCCAAAGTATGTCAGATGAAGCCTCAAAATCCTTGCCTCCAAGGAGCAGACTGTTTTAACCCTCTCCAGGATGAATCTGTTTGTTTTCCTAGCAGTCCATGGTACATTCAATACTCTTTTCCAGCACCACAGCTCAAAGGCATCAATTCTACTTCTGTCCTCCCTAGTCATTGTCCAACTCTCTGATGCATAACAAGTGATTGCAAAGACCATGGCCTGTATCAGATGCACCGTTGTCTCCAGAGAGACACCATTGCTTATCAGTAAAACCTAACTTCTATATGCTAATGAGGCAGGATGAAGATGGTTTCTATCTTGAGTCACAGATATACAAGGGGTAAATCTCTTATTCAAGTCACCATCCTTATTTAAGTCATACCGTCTATCTAACTGGAGATCAAAGGAGACAGCGCCAACAGAGAGAGAAAAGGAAACTGATCACCAGGATTCTTGCTCTGAGAACCTCCTAGACATACTTATGTCAAGACATTTGGAAATCTCCAAGGCATACCACACTCATAGATGTTGAAACGTGACAGGGACCTTCTATTAGAGACAAGAGACAGAGAAAGTCTTTCCCTAGAGTTGGCACCCTAAATTTTGGTAGCCTAGTGTTAAGAAGCTGTGCTGCAATCCCAAAGGAACACAGTTCAAATCCACCGACTGCTGATAGACAATCTCCTCCCGCAAGAGTTATTGCCTCTGAAAACCCACTGGAAGGTCAGCTATGAGTCATTTCCAACTCAACAGCACACTCTAAGAAAAACAAGCTGAGACAGTATGCATTTCTCTTTGATAAAGTCATCCACTGGTGGTATTTCTGTTACAGAAGGATTAGCTAAAACGTACATATTCACATCCCTCTTTTCTCTTTCAAAGTCAACTTATCAGCCTGCTTCCTTAACTCTTTTAACACATTAAAGAAAAAGGATCAAACATTCTATTTAATCTTCTAACTTATCTTCAAAGTCTAAAAGGATGAGGATGGGGGTGAGACAGAGAGTTGGGGGGGCATTAATCATAAGGTCGCACAATCTGATGGGTGGAATGTGAGGGTGTGTGAAGGAAACGGAAACGATCTGGTGTGAAAAACATGTGTATGAACTATGTAAATAAACCAGTATAAAATTAAAAAAAGTAAAAAATAAAACCAACTTGAAATCTTCCATATATTTTTCCTATTGTTGGACGAGTTACATGTTGCACACACAAGGAAGTTAAACAATGAGAACATTTAATTACTATTCACTAAAAAAATCCTCGAACTCATTACCGTCTAGTGGTAACTGGCTCATAGCTGACCCTTCAGTTCATTTTCTGAGGCTATAAATCACATAGGAAGAGACTGCTCATCTTTCTCTCACAGAGTCACTGGTGCATTCAAATCACCAGAAGGGTTACCACCTCTGGATTAGCAGTGTACCTCCCCAAAGACCGCACAAGAAGATCTCCCTTACTATGAACTAAAATATAGGTAAATATTGTGGAGAGGAAATTATTAAAAGCTGGAGGATAGTGGGCATAGATCAATGGTGATTAATTTTATAAAACACATTGAATGGGAATCATCATATGAGATACAATGTGAATGAAAGAATGTGTGAAATGCAATATATATGAAGTACATGCAATGTATATGAATTTTGTATGCAATCCAATATAAAAGGAAAAGAAAAAAGAGGTAAAATCTATTTCTATACTTATTGAGTCTGGTTGGTTTTGAGACATGCTTTGACCAACAAAGCTGGTTATATGAGTTCAAGAGTCAAAACCTGGTTCGCTTGAATGGTGCCTTAAGGCTGCCATATTATAAGCTTATTGGAGGATGAGAGAACCAAGATGCCCCAGCCAAAGGCAATCCCAGATACCAGATGTCTGAAGGAGCTATCTTGGACCATACAGCTATTCCTCCCATTGTCTGACTGCAGATTAGTCTAAGAGGGATCAGGAGAAGAACCACCTCTGTCAGCCTACAGAACCATAAGAAATAACAAATTAGTGTTGTGGAGGTAAAATAAAACAAAAACATGCAATAAACTGGAAGATAAAGCAAATTATTCTACATTTTTATACTGTCACACTAGAGAATTCCCTGACAAGAGAGTCTCAAGGGGTATACCTTTGTTTGACTAGAGCCCAGACAATTTACAGCTCTGCAAAGTAGGGCAGGGGTGAGTCAGTGGTAGAATTCTCATCTTCCTTGCAGATGATCCACTTATAATTCTTGGCTAATGCACCTCAAATGCAGTGACTAGTCATCTGTCAGCACAGGTTTGCATGTAATTGTGATGCTAAGCAGGTTTCAGCAGTGTTTAAAAATTAAGACAAACTAGGAAAGAAGCTTCACAATCAGCTTCCAAATAATCAGCTAGCATACAGCCACAACAGCCCACCCTGATTGCACGGTATTGTCATGAGTCTGGGCTGATTTTGTAGCAGTTAATAACAACAAGTGTTTAAATTGTAAAAAGCTACTGAAATGTGTTTTTAAAAAAAAAAATTCTGGTAGTAAAGATAACCCAAGTGGTAAGGATTTGTGCTGTCAACTCTGCACAGTTTAAACTTGGTTCAAACCCATCTCCCCAGAGAGAAAATGGGCAGTCTCCTCCCATGCAATTGGCTGCCTCTGAAAACCTGCGAGAGGGTCACTATGGGTCAGTTCTGACTGAACTGTATACAATAAAGCAACCAATTTGGACAGCTCATTTCGTATTTAGCTTGGTAATTATTTTCCAGTTAACTATGTACATTTCTCTTTTACAAAATCTTTAGAAACTAGTTCTCCTCATTAATGGGTTGAGAAAATCCTTAAAACAACAATTTAAAAGAAAATTGGTGAGCTGAGTTTTAAAACTTTATTTTCTGGTATTATTTTTCCAAAATGAACATGTATCTTCTAGACGGTAACTCAAGATTCTCTCTAATAAGAAAAATCTAACATTTTGTGGCTGTTTTCAACATGACAGACCTCTTGCACTTAACTTCATGTTCATCTAATTAATTTCATGAAAATAATTTCTATTTTATAACAGCATCCCAGGAAGTTTTTGCAGTCTTTAGATTATTGTCAAGGAAGTTAGGCTCTTCTAAGGATGCTAAAGGACTCATGTTAAAGTGAAAACACATAGTAATAGAGTTACGGTTCAAACACAGACAGCCTGACTCCAGTACCTTCATTCTGAACTACACCACTGTATTCTCAGTAGTTTTCATTTAACTGAGGAGCTCTGGTGGCCTTGTCTGTAGGGAATTGTGCTGAACCAAAAGACCTTAGATTTCTGATGGTTCAAATTCACACAGGAAAACCAACAGAAGATCAATGAGACTTGGGGCAATGAGAGTTTTTCCAAGGAAAATAACTGCCAAGTCAGTTCCAAATCAGTGATTCTCTATCGGGTTCCAAGGCTGTGTGAAAGATTGTCCATCCTTCTCCTGTGAAGCACCTGGTGGATTCAAATCATTGACCTTTAAATCAGCAGCTCAATTACACACTATACCACTAGGGCTTCTTTATCCAAAGAGTACCAACATAATGAAGATGGTCTTATGAACTCTATTTTTAAAATAGAATGTGTAAGAATGCTACTTTTCAGGAAAGATAACCCTAAGCTTGCATCTAATGGTAGATATAGATCCTTCTCTACCAAATCTTAGACTGGAGATGATTACCACAGGCTAGCGTGGTGAGACTGGCCAAGAAATCTGGAACTTTCCTTTTTCTTATTTCAAGCTCATAAGACACTTGACTCCCTACAGAATTTGCCTATGCAAAGAGAGAGAATACATAAGCAAGCCAATGCAGTAAGTAGTCAGTTAGTAGAGGTATTTCTCACTTAAAAATTTTCCATTAGTACTTTAGAGACTTCACTGTCTTTTGTGAAGTATTGGTACTCAAAGACCTCTTCTCCCTTGGAGCATTTCGCAGTTCAAGATCTGTTCTAACTTGCACGATACAGATCAGACCTTGGTCTGAAGTGGGCACCATGGATGTCAGCACCACAAGTGCCAAACAGTCAGTCACATGGATGTCAGCACCACAAGTGCCAAACAGTCAGTCATCTTCTTGTTCCTATCCCATTCTGAGTAACTTCCATAAGATTTCCCTCCCAGATCTGATAAACTGTCTCTCTCGAGGCAGTGATTTAAACCTCTCAAAAGTAGAGGTTGAGCACTTTGAGGTTCTGACGCTCTACTTAAGGGTAAAAACTTTCAGTTGACTTCTAGCACTTTAAAGTTTGCATATCTTAATCCAAAGGAAAATGTTAGCTGCTCTGTGGGAGAAAGATGGACAGTCTCTCCTGTACAATTCATAGCCTCTAAAAACCTCCTG